AATTTGCAATAGTCCAGTGTAGACGTGACAAATGCATGGAGCAGTTTTTCTGCATCATCTTTAGATCAGATGTTTCTAATGTTAGTGATATTACGCAGGTGGAAGAAGGAGGTTCTAGTAACGTTTTTAATGTGGGGGATAAAAGACACGTCCTGATCAAAAATAACACCAAGATTTTTAACATTAGAGCTGGAGGACAGATTAATGCATCTAAGGAGGGAGAAAGACTGAAACATTCATTCCTAAGGTGCTCAGGTCCAAAAACCAAAACCTCAGTCTTGTCTGTTCAACAGGAGAAAATTAAGGTTCATCCAGGTTTTTATGTCTTTAAGACATGCTTGTAGTCTAAGTAGCTGATTGGATTCATTGGGTTTAATGGACAAATATAATTGTGTGTCATCAGCATAACAATGGAAATTTATCCCATGTTGTTTAATAACTTTACCTAATGGAAGCATATATAAAGTAAAGAGTATTTGCCCAAGCACTGAGCCCTGAGGAACTCCATGACTAACTTTGGTGTATGAAGAAGATTTATTATTTACATTTACAAACTGGAATCTATCAGATAGATATGATTTAAACCATTTTAGAGCTGTTCCTGTAATCCCAACATCATATTCAAGCCTCTGTAGTAAAACATTGTGATCAACTGTATCAAATGCAGCACTGAGGTCTAACAGGACCAGTAGAGACACAAGTCCATTGTCTGAGGCCATGAGAATATCATTAGTGACTTTTACTAGTGCTGTTTCTGTGCTATGATGAGCTCTAAACCCTGACTGAAACTCTTCAAACACATTATTTCTTTGTAGATGTTCACGCAACTGACCTGCAACTATTTTCTCTAGAACAGTACTTCCCAAAGAGGGGTACTTGTACCCCTGAGGGTGCGCAAGAAACTCTGAAGAAAAAACGTGTGAAAAGAACCAGACTACACTTGCACATAAATAGATTGAGACACCTTTTCAAATAACCAAATAATATACGTGTAAATGCTGTCATCTAGTGTTCAGCAAAATGATTGCATTGAAAAAGTAGAAGGGTGTGCCTCGCTGAAGGAACACCTGCTAATCAAAGCAGACTTCACTCAAATTCTTGTCGTGGCTGCGAAAACATCAGAAGCCATTGTCGGATTTCTGGATCGGACTACGCACAGAACAGCCTGCTCTGGCCAAACACGCTGTAAAGACTTTGATGCCCTTTACTGCAACGTACTTGTGTGAAAGTGGAGTCTCGGTAATGACAAATATGAAAACAAAATACAGAGCAAGACCTTGTGTTGAAAACAATTTAAGACTCAGACTCTCAAATTAAGCCAAACACAACAGAGTTGTGTGCATCCTTCCGAGCACACCCTTCTCATTAAAACGGTGGCGAGTTTAATTAAATGCACAGTATAACTGTTAGTTAACGCCATAAATCTTTTGCAATATATACATTCTGCACAGGCTAAATGTTTGGCTAATTCAGTGTGTTGTTCAATAATGCTGACATTAATTAATAAATATCATTTGGTGCAAAAAAATGAACAGTTGTTTAAGATTTTTTGATATGTGCAGTGTTTATGAACACATTTTAAATGGAGGGTACTTGGCTAGAGGGCAGATGTCTGAAGGGGTGCACATCTGAACAAAGTTTGGGAACCACTGCTCTAGAATTTTTTAGATAAAAGTTAGATTAGATATAGGTCTATAATTGTGTAGGATGTCTAAGTCAAGGTTATGTTTCTTAAGTAAAGGTTTAATTAATGCAACCGTAAAGCTCTGTGGTACATAACCGTCCATTAAAGACAAATTAAGTAGATCCAAGACGTGGTTATTAATTAAACAGTCTTTAAACAGTCTGGTTGGGATGGGATCTAAAAGCCACTGGGACGTTATGTTTAGAAAATAAACGTCTCAGTTTCTCTGATACTCCCTCAACATATGGAATGACCACTGGTCTGGGTCTGGGTTCCTCCTTTTCACCTGATGGCTGACTGGAGTCCTGTTTGGGTTTCTTCTCTGCTTTCAGGAAGGCCCAGTTAGGATATCCACATTGCTCTAGAGCCTGTCTTGTGTGGGATTTCTCCTTCTGCCTGGCTCCTGAGCTAGTGGGGACGCTGTCTGCTCTGTGGTACAGAGTCCTGATGACTCCTAACTTGTGCTCCAAAGGGTGATGGGAGTCAAACTGCAAATACTGGTCTGTGTGGGTGGGTTTGCGGTACACCTCGGTTTGCAAATGTCCTCTATCAGAGACTGAGACCTCACAGTCCAAGAAAGCCAACCTGCCATTTTTTACATCTTCTCGTGTGAACTTGATGTATTTATCCACAGAGTTGATGTGGTCAGTAAAATGTTGGACTTCCTGAGATTTGATTTTAACCCAGGTGTCGTCAACATACCTGAACCAATGACTTGGTGGTGTCCCTGAAAAGGACGTCAAGGCTCTCTTTTCTACCTCCTCCATGTACAGGTTGGCAACAATAGGAGAAACTGGAGACCCCATAGCACACCCATGTTTCTGCCTATAATATTGCTCCCCATATGTGAAGTAGGTTGACTGCAGGCACAGTTTCAAGAGTTGACACAGTTCTGTAGAAAGCGTGGTCCTGCTGCTCAGAGTGGTGTCTGATTTTAATTTTAAACTGACCACCTCTACTGCATCATCAACAGGAATGCACGTAAAGAGTGATGTGACATCAAAAGAGACCATTGTTTCATCAGTCTCCATGATGACATCCCTCACCTTGTCCACAAAGTCCATGGTGTTCTGTATGTGGTGTTCTGAGCTGCCAACTAAAGGGATGAGTACAGACGCCAGATATTTGGAAACATTGTAAGTGACAGAGTTAATCATGCTAACAATTGGTTTTAAAGGTACACCTTGTTTGTGGATTTTAGGTAAACCATACAGACTAGGTGTGGCCTCCCCTGGGTACAGTCTGTGGTTCAGAATACGGTCAATAGCCTTGTCCTGCTCCAAAATTTTTCAGGCAATCCATTAATTTCTTCTTGTAACCACTTCCTGGATCTCTTTTCAGAGGTTCATAAGTGGTTAAGTCACTAAGGAGTGTCATAACTTTCTCATGATAGTCTTTCTGGTTCAAAATCACTGTGCACCTTCGTCTGCTGGGAGAATGATGATGTTTTTGTCCTTGCTAAGAGTGGTGAGTGCATCCCTCTCCTCTCTACTGATGTTGGAAGGTGGTGGTTTGGCATTGCTGAGGCAGGCTGAAACTTTGATTCTGAGCTGTTCTGCGTCACACTCTTTCATTTTGTTATTGCGGATGGCTGACTCAGTAGCTGTGATCATCTCCACCAGAGGAATTCTACTTGGTACAACCGCAAAGTTCAGTCCCCTGGCAAGAATCTCTGTCTCCGGCTGGGTGAGCAGTCTGTCAGATAAATTCTTCACCCACTGTCACCCACAGGAAGACAGAAAAGTCCACTCTGAGAAGGTGCTATTTAAGAGACTGAGCTGAAAACAGCACCTCAGACTGAGGAAGTCTCTCGGATGAGAGACGAAACGGTTCTACATTTTTCTTCTTTTTTTTTTCTTTTTTTTAATTTCCAGAGGACCAGATTGAACTTTTTTGGGTCATTTAAGAATGTTATCAGTGAAGACAGCTGCTGCTGTGGTGTTCATGATGTCTGTCCATCATGAAGGCTGTCATTGTTTGTTGTTTTCTGGAATGAGACAGTAAATATGTTTTATATCATAATTTACAGCAACGCAAGACATGCCTTGTTTCACTTACAGTGTTAGGTTCAGGCAAATAAGTAGCCCAAAGAGCAATTAAACACACACACACACACAAAATACTTAATTACACATTTGAGTAGATGTAATAAATTACTTTAATTCCTGTTTAAATGCAATTCATCCTGCCATACCTGCAGTGTCTTCAGACTTTGCCAGCAAATTAAAAGTTGAAGTTTAATCATTAAATTATTATCTTTGTGTTAGATTTATTTATAAATCACATTTAAACGCTGCTTGTACCAATTAAATTAAATAAAAAGTAACACACGTTCTCTATCACCGTCATTAATCAGATAAACAAACAAACAAACAAACAAACAGCTTCATCTACCAGACAGACTGACGTTACGTTTTCTCTCTTGAAACAGAACAAAGTGTTAAATTGTAGAGACTCACCTGCAACACATGAAGAGTTGTATCAGCTGCAGCTCCTTCCTCCTCCTCGTGACTCCCACATGTTTACGTTTATCTCCGTGGTTCTCCCGTGTCGTGTTGTCACTTTTCAAAGCTGCATGTTTCTCAGTTTTTATCTTTGTGAAGAGCTTCCACTCTTTGGAGGACTTGGGTCGAACAGTTTTCTTTGCGTCGGTCATTTGTAAATTGTATTTAATTTGCTTTGAAAACAGCCTCTGCTCTGCTTCGCCCCTCGCTCTGTTCAACTCGCACTGCAGAGTTGGTTTTTTTTTTTTCAAACTTTATTCAGTCAGTCAGCATTGACAATGAACTGCAGGTGAACAAAACGGCTCCGCAGCGCCGTGAAAGATGCATAATCGCGCGACACAACGAATCGATAATGAAATTTGTTGCCAACGCTTTTAATCATCGATTTTTATTGATTTTATCGATTCGTTGTTGCAGCCCTAGATCTAGCATCATGTGGATGGTTTGGAAGCTATTATTTATGACAATTCAGAGAGCTCAACAGGACAAAAACAGTCCAAACATAAATCAGGTTCTAGTGACATTTTTAAGTTGTCTCATCTGACACAGAACCAGAAGCGATAGTGGAATGTTGGTTTGAAATTTTTCTCTAATTGAAACAACTTTATTATTAAATAATCTAATGAAGTCATCACTGCTTACAGTTGTAGGGATACATGAATCAACAGACAGGATTTTTCATTAGACTAACTATGGTACTGAAAAGGAACCTGGGGTTATTTTTATTCTCATCAATGAATAATATAAAGTTCTAGCTTTACCGAGCGCTTTTTTATAAGTTAGCAGGTTCGCTTTCCAAGAAGAACTCTTACCTGTACAGGGCCACGTAGAAGCGATCCGACACACTCTGTTGCGAGTCCAGAACCTGGAATAACAGCATCAGCGCCTGCACTGCGGTGTTGAACCGGGTCAGATGGACGACCCGGAACAGAGAGTCCAGCTCCTCCTTGACCTTCTGGTCTCCAGCACCGGCATATGGGTAGGCTCGGTTCACGCCAGACAGCAGGGCACTTAGCATTTTGGATTCCACGGTGCCCTTTCTGATGCAGGTCCGGAAGAAGGAGAAATAAAGTGAGAGGAGCCTGGATGCGAGCTCTGACTCATCGTGGCTCAGAACCACCTGGTTCAGGAAGCAGACTGCGTAGTACCGGGCCTTGGTGCCAATGTTAGGTCGGAACACAAGGCGCTCTACCTCTCCGCAGACTGCCACCTTCATGTTGGGATGGCGCCGCAGCAGCGCCTCCAGCAGGTGTGATGCCTTGGCGGCCATCTTATAGGCGGGGTCTCCCAACTTGTTGACCACTTGGACCAGCAGGGCCCGCTCTTGTTCGGGTCGGCCGCTCAGAAGCTCGTAGGCAGTGCCGAGCGCCTTCGCCTTTACGGCCGGCACCGTGTCGCGGGCCGTGGCATCCAGTGCTGATACAAACCGGGCCACGAGGAGCTTCAGACGGTGCTCGAAGTACCAAAGGACAAGGCGGCGGTCCCGGGAGGCCCGGTTCCCACTGACCCGATCCTCTAGTTGGTGGAAGGGATGCTGGGCGAAGGGGCGGAGCTTCCTGTCCTCTGGCAGCAGGTTGGACAGCAGCAACTCGCGCAGCGTGTCCAGTGCCATCAGACCCGTCCGGCGCCCACCTTTCTTTGACACCATGCTCACCAGAGTCTCCACGTGGTCCAACGAGTGGACCGGAGCGTCCTGGATCAGAACTGTCAGAGCCGCCATCCTGTCAGCCAGTACACCCGAGGACACAACCGTCTTCATCCAGGCCGAGTTGGCTCCTTTCTGCAGGTTCTTCTTGGTTCTGTACAGCTCCACCTCGGACTCCAGCAGCTGCTGAGCCAGAGTTTGGTACAGGTTCACCAGAACAGGATCCTGTGGTTCCGATGAGCCCTCGGAGGCATACTCTAGCTCATACCACTTCCCTCCAGGTTTGATGAGTAGAACATGTCGGGGCTGGAACTCAAAGCGGTTTTGATTCTGCTTGGGCTTGGTCTGGGATGAAAGCAGATCGGGTTCTGTCTTCTTCTTCTTCTGTTTTCCGTCTTTTTTCTGAGAGCTGCTTGGTTCCTTCTCAGCTGCTGCCTGCTGACCTTTGACCTGGCCTCCAGCCTCCTGATCCTTGACTTGGCCTCCAGCTGTGCCGTCGTCCGATCCGTCGGGGATGTTCTGCTGCTCGGCGTAGGCCCGGATGCCCAGTTTGGTGATGAAGGTTTCGAGCTCGCCCTCCTCCAGGTCGTCGATGGCGCCTTTCTTGCCTCCATCGATGAGCTCGTTAGAGTCATTGATGCCGGCGAGGAGGACGTAATCCGCCTGCAGACACAGAAGACGGTTCTGAATACTCACCAAACCAAACAGAACCATGGTCAGGAGTCCTTCAGACAAATATATTTATTAAAAATATTCAGAGGATAAATTAAGTCCAGTCTACAGAACTAAACTATTGGACTCCTGGACCAGTGCAGACATGTTCCTGTTTTTTAGTTTTCTACAGTCGCCTTAGAATCTAGCTGTTTTTTGTTACCTTTTTTTAGCCATCCTCCATCCATCCATCCATTATCTTTACCCGTTTATTCCATTTTGGGTCACGGGGGTCGCTGGTGCCCATGTCCAGCAATCACTGTGCGAGGGGCGGGGGACACCTTGGACGGGTCTCCAGTCCATCACAGGGACACATAGAGACAAACGAGACAAACAACCATTCACTCTCTCTCTCTCACCTAGGGACAATTTAGAGTTACCAATCAGCCTAACATGCATGTTTTTGGACTGTGGGAGGAAACCGGAGTACCCGGAGAAAACCCACGCATGCACGGAGAGAACATGCAAACTCCACCCAGAAAGGCCCCTGGACCGGGGTTTGAACCAGGGACCTGCTCGCTGAGAGGCAGCAGCTCTACCAGTTGCGCCACCGTGCTGCCTTCAGCCATCCTATTTGTTTAAAAAAAAAAAAAACCTGGAGTATGACTTTTTGTAACTGTTTATTGTTGTGGCTGTTGTCCATTGTTGTCATCTTTCTTTGTAAAAATCATGTCTCTCTTGTAAATGAGTCCTCAAGGCTCAATGGGATTTACCTGTAGAAATAAAGGTTGAATGAATGAATAAACTCTGTTCAGAACCCAAACTGGATTCAGAGATTTTGGATTCAACTTGGATGATGGGTCTGCTCTGGTGTTCTGTAGAAACAACATCACAACACTTCCAGCATCCTCAAAAAGCCCCACCCACTTTTGGGGGGAACAAAACAGATGGTGACAAACAGAAAGTATGAACAAACAGGTTGTGACAAACAGGAAGTAAGAGCAAACTGGTTGTGACAAACAAGAAGAACAAACAGGTGGTGACAAGAAATAAGAACGAAAAGGTGGTGACAAACAGGAAGTAAAAACAAACAGATGGTGACAAACAGGAAGTAAGAACAAACAGGAAGTAAGAACAAAAAGGTGGTGGCAAACAG